GACTCTTGTCTTAAATTAATGGAACACGACGTCACTTATATCGAAGAATTTAAAATTTCAAAATTTTATTGGGTTATTCATATTTATCCATCTCTAGTGATTTTGACTCTTGTCTTAAATTAATGGAACACGACGTTACCTAGGTCGAAGAATTTAGAATTTTGCTCGAACAAAATTTTCCATTTTACCTCCTGTCTTAAGTTAATGGAGCACGACATTATTCATGTCGACGAATTTATAATTTTACTCGAACGAAATTTTAAATTCTCTAATGTCGCTCGAATTTCCCCAAAAATGTTGTCCCTTGTCCCAAGTTAATGGAACATCCAAGAATTTAGAATTTTGCAAAATTTTGTCCAATCATTTTTTCGTATATCCACCTGGAGAATTTGAAATTTTTCCCAAGAATTTTACCTCTTGGCCTTCTATGCTTAACGGAACACCATAAATCCGAGGAGCCAAATTTACGCGTTGCAATTCTTATCGCGCAATTCCGTCGTAAAATCTTTCACGGTCCACCCCGTAAAACGTTTGGGAGATAGGTATGCAAAATTGCGCCAATGTTTGGAGAGAAAAGTTAGAATCGATTAACCACCCTGTTCCTCCAAACATCTCCGTAACAAGCGCGTATCACAAGGAGAAGAATATTACGAAAAAAGGAATAAGAAGGAGGAAGACACACGAACGAGAACAATAAATAAATCGTCCATTGCGATCTAACTGAACGCAACACTTTCCATCGTCGAGGAACAAGCAAGTCCATCGATTCAACTTCGTTCAATCCGCTAATGACAGTTGCTTGGACACAGCCCTCTCATAAATCATCTTCCAAAATATCACGTCCGCGTCCATTGCTCGTCGATCCGACTCTGATGCAATCGTGGAATCGTGTTCCCTTCCTCGGCGAGGATGACTTTCGAAAAAATTAGCGGAGAAAAATTGCAGAATTCGAAGCCAACCAAGCAACGCTAACGAATGGACGAAAGATCGTTTCGAACTCGTCCGAAAACTTGGCTCTGAATTAACTCGAAGAGCACTTTGCGATCTTTGTAAGAATTAAATCTCGATTGAAAAGATTCGAAATAAATTTAGAAATTAAATGTCAAACGAACTTATTAAATTTTACAAAGATTCAAGTTTGGCCCCATCTTCGTAATACCGTGAAGCGAAGATGTTGCAGATAAGGTTCTAGAATCTTTCTTTGGATCCGCGCACCGTTAAAATTTGACGAATAAAATTGAACGAAATGACGAACGTCGAAATCGGGAAATCGGAAATTTCAAAGGCACGATCGAACATCGGCCGATCTCTCGAGAAAATTTGGTTAACAAAATTTCTCTTTTATCTTTTTCCCCTTTTCGAGAAATCTCTGATAAAAACGTATGTATCGGTTTTGCGCGTGAAAAACGCGACAAAGGGGAGGAAAAAGCGAGGAAGGAGAGAGAGAAAGAAAGAAAGAAAGAAAGAAAGAAAGAAAGAAAGAAAGAAAAATAGGAAGCAACAAGAGTCGGTGGTTGCGAGAGGTTGGGTCGGTATAGCGAGCATCAATTTTCAAGGCAAACAAAGTCCAACATTAACGTGTAATGGCCGTGGCGTCGGCCGGCCTCCCGTTGTCCGCTCTACATACGCGGCATACCCGGCCCCGGCCAACCGTAAACCGACAATTTCAAACCGTCCGGCTTCCCGGCGTTCGAATCCAGTGACGTCACGTCCGATCGTTTACTCTGGTTATTACTGAAACAGATTGGAAGTCTATGAGTTTTGTGTGGGTATTGCAAAAAAGGAGAGAGGGGGGAGGAGGGGGAGAAAGTAAATAAAAGAATCGCGAAATGGGCGAAACGTGTGCACGGCAATAAGCAATAAGATACGAACCAACTTATCGAATTATTCCTCTTGTTATTCCCTTTCTCTCTCTCTCTCTCTCTCTCTTCGTTTTTCGAAAACGAAAATTTCCAACACAACTTGTATTCCGTTTTTCAAAAGAGATCGGTATCGAAAATTGATAAAAGGAAAAATAATCCATAATTTCTCTCCGTATTCTTTTTTCCCTTTTTTTTTTTTTTTTTTTTTGTCGAACATTTTAATATGAAATTTCGTTCGAGCGTCGATATCGATCCGACTAACTATTCATACGTAAGCGAGATAGGGGGAAGAGGAAAAATTTAGCAGTTGGATAGGGTGAAATATTAGGGTCGACGGTTCATTTATCCATGATGGAACGGTGTTGTTGCGAGCGAGGACATGGGACGCGTTGTACGGGAAAAAGTGGGGGGAGGGGGGGGGGCTCGATCGACCCTCTAAAATCGACGTATAATCTGCATGTTGAATGGATCCGAGCTTCGAAGAGCGCAGATTTTTGTTTTTTTCGCGCTAGTTGAATAGCTTCTATGCCGCGCAAGAGAATTGTATAGAGTTTTTTGTTTAGCACTTTGCCCGATATTGGCAGCCTGCTGCTCTCTCTCCTCCTCTCTCTCTCTCTCTCTCTTCTTTTCATTTCTCGAGAAAATTATTGCCACGATGATAATTATAGCGGCGTGTTTGATTGCACGGAGGAAATTAATTCATTCATAAAGAATTCTCGAACTCGTTGACCCTTCGTTTCTTTCGCTAGTTTCTCGGCAACCACTCGACTTGTTGTCGACGAGGGGCGAGCGTGTCCGCCCATATCTTGTCTCTTTTCCTCGCGCTTAATTACGGAAAGTGAGATTTTTCATCGATTCGTTCGAAGCGTTGCTCCATCGTCGAGAACGTAACGCTTCGATATTCGTGTTCATTTTCGACAACAATTTTATTCCCACTCGTCGAATTGAAAAGTGGCAAATCCGTTTCGT